AGTGGGGTGAAAAAGTCACAACTAAATAGTAAGATGCCTTTTTGATGGATATATTGATTAGTACATGTAAGAGGTATATTTCTTTCATCAAATGTAGATTGTAGTCCGAGCTTGTAGTATATTATTTCATTATAGTATATGGACTAGACAGTTTAATCAAGTAATATCTGGCTCCTTTAAAAATACTAAACCATGTTATAGAAGTGGTAGCTCTTCTTTGTTAATTGCATTCGACCGTGATGAATGTACATTTTATGTGTATTATTTTTACACAGAAATATATGTAAGGTGTGTTTTGTATGGAATATGCTTTTTTTCATCTCTAACAAAAAAACAAAACAAAAACAAATGCAAATAATGAGCAATAAAGTTGCATCTGTGGTGTATAAATGATAAAATCATTTTGAAATATAAAGTTGCAATTATAAAAATACCACAATTAAAGAAATAAACTTGCAATTACCTTTTTTATTTTGAAGAGGAAATTGCCTTCAATAATTTCAATAATCAAATTTGTGGCCATTTTGTTAGCTATATTATATTATATTATATTATATTTGGACACTTAAGTTTGATATAATGCAAATAAATGAACACAACAGACTATGTTAGCAAGTGCGTTTATTTAAAAAAATACATGTATCACAAGCACATTTTTCTGGCTGAATGTAATGCAAACTAAATATTTTGTAACTATTTTTAGTGTGACTGAAGTGTCCAAAATACATCAGTATTATATTAGTCACTGGCTGCACTAGTCTTGAGATATTCAGCATTGGTGAATGTGTGAAGATACCTGTTCAACAGGTGTGTACGGTCATATGTTCATATCAAGAGAGATCTATCTAGCTGTTGAATGTATTCATATTCCATTTCATGGTGAATGACAATCCCTTATCTTCAGAGCAAATGTATGTCAAATTGTGAGATGCATTGCATAATAATTTGTCACATCTGGCATCATGCCAGATGTTTACGGAAGACAGCAATCAAACGGCGGATGTGTGCATTACTCATCTGCCATGTCTTTTCACAGCAGATACCTCACAAGGTGAAGCCGTCGTGTAATGAAGATATGAGCCCCATCAGTTAGATTCAATATCAGATCTCCTGCCTTTGTTAGGAGACTGTGGGTAGTCGAGGAATTTTTAAAGAGTAGGCAGATGACTCATGATGCCGATTCTCTTCCTTCATGGGGCTTTTGCCTCATTAAATCCTTAACGGTGTGAAGAGACTTGGAACGACCTGATGGCTCTATCACACCCCTCGCCCCTTTTGCCCTTCAGCTCAGCACTGAGCCATGCCCACTCCAAGGACATAGACCACCATTAAGCCCTGCCCACCCCAACGCCACAGGCCACAAACCGAGGCCAACCATCCATGTGGTGAATCAGAGCACCCACTACCATACTAATTTGCTTTAATGAATCCTACGCCACATTTTGATATTATAAATGCCACCACAGGCAAATTGCGTATTCAGTTATACGTCAATACAAATGGTCAGTGAATAGGGCTGTACTTTTTGTTTCAGGGGTGATAAATGAATTAAATATATTTGTATATTTATATTATATTAATATATTATAATACCTTTATACTTCAAGAAGTTTTAAGCAATCTTTAACTTTGTGAATCCATCACTTAAAGTTTGTCAAAGCTTTCTAGTTAAAAATGACACTCGTTGCAGTTGTATATGCTTCTTGGGTTTTTAGTTCATTTAATGCTTTATTCAAATTCTGCATCTTGTTTGCTGCCTCAATACAAATTCAATTCTAGTTCACACAAACTTGGTACTTGGTCTCTGATGTCCCAGCATTTATCCTTGTTTTCTGGTATATACTGTTATACTGTGTTCTGTGGTTGTGTTGTGTCTGTAATATAGTGTGTTATTATATTGTTTGTTTTGATTGTTCTGTTTAGATAAACTTTATAAAAATGTCTTGGGCACTAGCTGAAAGCACTATATAACACTATTTATTATTGTTTTTATTGATGCCAGGAGACGAGATTTTTCTAGAAGACTGATGTGACTGGACTCTTCCTCTCATGTGAGTGTACATCATTTTAAATATTAAACATCATTGTATTTTACCATATTCTACTACTATTTGCTTTTTATGAAAGCTTTTTAATTTAAAACTGTGTGTGTTTTTAAAGCATGGCTGCTTGTAGTATTTGAAGGGCAGAGAGCTGCAGTAATTCTCCAGGAAGGAAACAGGGGGCGCTGTGCTCTCATGTCTCACTACATCACATCTGTCTGTTCTGTAGTACAGCCTAGGAGAGGATTTGCTTAATGTAATAATAACCTACTGGAAGTTTCCGTGCCTCTCTGCCAATCTCAACTTTTGTGTGAGTAATAACGCTGGCATTCATGCTCATTGGGAAAACTGATCAAATTCTTATCAAAAAGGTACAGCTCAAGTGACATTTGGTGCCTCCGGGGTCTTGAGAAAATGAAACTTCCCAGGAATATTTTAAAGATTAGTGGGTATTAGTTAATTCACCTTGTGTTACGTGAGGAGCAAGCCTCTTTTTCTTGAACACAGACATGGCAGCACACAGCTTTCAACACCTTATTTTATTGTCCCAACATTCAAAAGTACAAATAATTCAAACACAACAGTTTTATGAAAAAGAAAAAAACATTTACAGCAAGTATTTTTTTTCCATATTTTGTTTCCAGTTTCAGAAATGACCTAAACTAGCAAGGATAACATGAAGTCATTCATCGCAGTAATTTGATTCGTAATAAGAATAAGGATAATGAGAATAATATTAATCATAGTAACAATAATCAATAATCGATAGATAAGTAATAACGTAAGTAGGAGAGACCAGCTTGGTCCGGTGAACTTTTTTGAATCTTTTTTTTCATCTTTAAAGATTTATAGATTTTTCAGATAGTAAACAAACACATTTCAGAAGAAAATGAATTATGACAAGAGCCTTGTTCCTCACTTTGCCTTCCCTCCTACACTACTGGCTGATGGGTTCCTATTGGCAGGCTGCCACTATAAGGCGCTACGGGGGAGAGACACTGCGATATGGGCACGCACTATAGAGGCACGGCCCCGCGTTTCCAACACCCCCGCAAACTCTCGCGCGTCCTAGACGCTCTCCCGTGCAGTCATCCACGCTCAGACATGCGGAGGGTGATGCCATTAACCAAAAGAGGAGGACGTAATGCAGGAAATTTGTTCGTACATCAGAACAACATTCTACTGGGGTCGTTGCATAATTCAAACTCCCAGCCGCAGCGGGGTTTGAGAAGGGCCATGCCGCCGCCCCCTTAGAGACGGAGCAGAGGAGGATGGATGGCATTAGAGGTGGAGGAATGTAAGACTGCTCATGAACGTGACTTTTGTTTTTCGTTCTCCAGCATTCACACCGGTCTTAACAAGAGCCGAGCTCTCCATTTAGGAAGATAACCTCTCAAAATAGACTATATCTTAGAAAATATATAACAGGTGTCATCTATCAAATATTATCTGCTATAGCTATTTTTGTTCAACCAGTACAATCAGAGTCAATGTTTTTTATTCTTTTCTCCTTTTTCTGGAGTATCAATGTGGTTTAAATGAAGGTTACAGTTCAGATGAGTCGATGAATCATACTAAAACAATGGACACATATCGATCAATCAAATTAGGGCAGCAAAGCCTGACACGAACGTCATCGAGATCCATGAGAAACTACATTTCAGACCCACATTTTTGCATAAAGTTTAATCACAAAGCAACGGTAGTGTGTGGAGGGAGGGCGGGAAGTGGCTTTTAAAACTACACAAACTTATCACAGGTTATATTGAACCAGAACAACTGTTATAACATTCTATTAAGACTAAACTTTATTGAAAAAGATTTAAAGATTTATGTTTAACAAGACAAGAAAAAAGCAATAGCAAATTGAACTATCGGCTAGGTTATGCATAGCGAGTAACTGTTTCTATTAATAAGGGAAGAGCCTCACCAACCCTCTTGACATTTTTTTCGGTTTTGACTTTTAAATTTTTTTGTATTGTAATTTTGATATATCGGTACAAAGCACAAACGTACTAAAATTTCTCAGTGCACAGGACTAATGGAAGAGCGTCTCCCCTAGTCATTTGTTCCCTTTAGCTCAGAAAGACCCCCCTCCCTGTACCAGAATCACGCAAAAACACAGACAACATAAGAAAGGAACAAGTAAATAAATAAATAATCGAGATAAATAAATAATTTAATCAATGAGACAATCAATCAATCGATCAATAAATAAATAGATTTTTCTCAAGAAGCTTTTTGTTCGATTTCTTTTGCTGCGGCGGTAAATCAAATAAATCGATCCAATTTTTCAGTTCTTTTTTTTGCGTTTTTTTTCTTTATCTTCACAAGCGACATGACAACATATTAAACAGGATTCCTCACGAGTTTTTCTAAGTAACTGAACCATCACTTCATAAAGTTTTCATATGAAAAAAGACAATCCCGAACGAAAAACAGTGACAACTCAGATAGATATAGATATTGGAACAGAAAATGTTGACTATATATCATCTATTTGTACACAACAAAGAAAGACACAGTCGTAATAGATCCTTTGAGGAAACAAATACTAGACTAACAGAACTAGCTAATTATCGCTGAATTTCGACAAACGCTGTACACTCAGCAAATAACCTAGAAGTAAGCAAGCCAAAGGAACATCGTCGTGGACGCCCGAATTTGTTCGTCTGGGCTTTCTCCAGACCAGACGGCGACCGCGATTTCGAAAGAATAAACATCAACGAAAGAGACTAACAGAACTAGCTAATTATCGCTGAATTTCGACAAACGCTGTACACTCAGCAAATAACCTAGAAGTAAGCAAGCCAAAGGAACATCGTCGTGGACGCCCGAATTTGTTCGTCTGGGCTTTCTCCAGACCAGACGGCGACTGACGACCGCGATTTCGAAAGAATAAACATCAACGAAAGAAGAAAAACAGCAGCTTAATATAATGCCAACATCGAAATTTTCTTTTTTCTCTCTAAACAACACGAAGAACAACAAAGTTGGATATTTAAGATATGTGAACCATGTAATATAGCACCTACTGTTGATCGCTAAAGGAAGTACATCTCGAATGCGATATCACAAAATCATAGTGAATTAAACATAACCATGTATATGTCGTCCGAATGGAGAAAGAAGTGTGTGTGTGCGCGCGTGTGTGTATCTTTATTACTTATATCCCAAAGACGGATGGTCTAACGTAAATGAGTGGACGATGAGTGGCCTTGCTTTGGGCTCTTGACTGTGAAGATGTGGTTGGCCTGGGAAGACCCCTCTCCCTCTCCTATTGGGTATCGCTGTTGAATAATTACTGCTATGAAAAATTACCTGCCTGAATTTGCATCCCTTGATAAATTCTTCCATCTACAAAATTCTTCCATCGCCAATCCGGTTCTCCCCGAAAAACAAACGACCTTGGATCCTAAAAAGTACCACGGCAGAACGAACAAGACAAGGTGGCACCTGACCCCTCCCCCCGTCCCTAATTAGCCAGTCAAAATATTTTTCTCTTTTTTCAAATCCAGATTCTTGTAAAAATTCTTCAATAATTATTTTAATCATTATTTATAAAAATAGATCTTCTTTCTCTTTATTTTTTCATTTTTTCTAAACGCATTTTCAAGCAAAGAGATTTTCTCTTTGGCAACAGTGTGTGTAGGTTTTTTTTTTTTTGACGCAACGTGTCATCAGGAGCGCTAGCCCGTCCCTTCCCTCGCCCCTTCCCCCTGAATCCCCCGTGAGGACAGACGTGTGTTTTGTTTGCAGTACAAAACCAAAACTATGCTAGAAACATCTTCTGCATTAGAGAAAAGGGATGGCCTCATCCCTGTCAATTCATTTTGGGGATCTCTAACAATTTACACCAAAACAAATGAATGAATGATCACCGATTTTTTTTCTTCTTCTTTTTTTAAAAAGAGCCCCCTCCTGTTCTCTTACCAGGGAGGCGTTATTCTAACGACAGTGGATCCGGATTTAAAAAAGAAAGAAAAAATCCTGAATCGACACCAAGAGAGTTCGATCTAAAGAAGGACATTTTCTTCTTCAAAATAAGGGCGGTCTGGTTTTGCTACTGTTTACAGAGAAAAAAAAAGAAAAAAGTAAAGACAACCACAAGAACTCAAGAAGATATACAACAGAATCCCTGTACCACTTCCAGGGTCTCCAAATAATGAATATTCTCAATTTGTCATTTTGTAATACTTAGGCAACATTGGCTTATAGGTCCAAAGTTATATTATAAGCCATATCCAGTTCTTTTTTGTGGGTTTGTTGGTTGGTGTGTTCCTGTTTTGAGTAGCTGAGTGGGCAGAGGTGGGTTTTTAGTATTAGAGGAGCTGTAAGGAGCTACACAAGTGATGAGTGGGGAGTTCAGGACTTGTGGGTCTTGTTGGTCTTGAAAGACACTTGCAAGACACGGTCACCCAACCGATACCCATTCAGACTGGCGATGGCCATGGCCGCTTCGTCGTAGTTCGTCATGGTGACGAAGCCGAACCCCTTGCACTTGTTGGTGTTGAAGTCGCGGATCACCTTGACGTTGTTGACGGCGCCGAACGGTCCGAAGAGCTGCCACAGGACGCTCTCGTCTGAGTCCGGCGACAGGTTGTAGACGAAGATGCACCAGCCCGTTCCTGTGTGACCGGGGATATTCATCCCTACTAGACTGGTCATGCTATCGATGGTGATGGGGGAGAACCTGTAGGACGAGAGAGAGAGTAAGGAAGATGCGTAAGTCAAGCTGCCATTAGTCAAACTTCTAGCTGACTCTTCAAGTGTTATGCTAACAGTTTCAGTGCCACAATCTTTTCAGCCTGTCTAAATATCTGCTCCTTGTTTTTCAGGCGGAAGGCAACCGGAGGGTTTTTTTGAATGCTGAGTGAAAAGGCTGCGCCCGGTGCCGGCTGCGGGGGGCCGCACCGAAGCGACGGGTGCCGAGACGCAGGATCTATTGGGGAACTAAATTACAGGAACTCTGCACATTAATACCTTCGAAATTCATCAGAGATTTCACATGCAACCGAGTAAATCTGCTCTCATTCTCCTTGTAATCTTTCCATTCTTGCCTTTTTTTCCTCCCTCATGATACAGAGATTTGAATGCTCAGTTGATTTCACTTAATTGCCTTTCCGCTTAAAGGAAATTTCCACTTTAAATAAAAGGTAAATTGGATAAAAGGTTCATTTCGTGTGCTACCTCTCAAGGAATGACTATAGGCATTATTGGGGTGTGCTTTAATTGAGATTTCCACTTTGCTGCCGTCGTTGTCTTCGCATCGGAAAGGTTTGGGGAGGGGGATAGGAAGCTGCCAGCGAGCAGAAAATGGAAGCGGCGCTTTCCAGCCAGCTAGCACAGGGAACAGAGTGTATTCCACCCACGCCCTCTGCCGCTCCGTAGTGTGTGACTGTGATCGATAGCACTGCACGGACTACAGGGCTGGCCAATTCCCTGCTTCTTGTTCTGCCAAGAATTACTCAGACGTTTCATCTGCGTTTTAGCCCATTCGTCCTGGCAGAGTCAATACATCTGTCTCTCTCTTTTGCTTTTGTGTCCTGTCGCTTGCGTCTCATTATGTAAACGAAGGGTATAATGGTAAGTCGGCTCACTTTGCAGCTTGTGACAAGCAACCATCTCATGACTTCAATTATGCTGGTATTTCTGTGTAAATAATGAATCCGTAGCCATTATTCGTCGAAGATGGCTTCGTGGTAATTTGGATGCCAGTCATCTGCGGGCTAGCGGATTGCTGAAACAGAGGTGTCTGGTGACTACTAGGGCAGGGCCGAGCGCTGTCTGTTGTTCGAACTAAGGCGAACAGTTGGATGAGGAGTTGCATAGCAACAAGCGACTGACCTAGAGCCATCCCACCCTTTCGAGCTGCCCACCTTCACCTAGTGATGCTCACTTCTTCAGACTGGTCTTCGTTCATTAATTACCTTCCATGGCGTGCTCTGTGAGCACAACGCCTCCCCAGCCCGCCGTCGGTTTCATCTCCCCTAAATTTTCCCTCTCTTGAGGCAGACGGGCTTATTTGACAGCTGATCGCAGCTCGTGTAAATAAAAAGGAATCTTTCGTCTCGTCATTTGTTTTGAAAGACGCCGCTGCCTCGTTTGCATATCCTGTTTCATTGTTGCACTTCCCGTTACTTGTCAGATTTAGCAAAAAAAAAAAAAAAGCATGTTTTCTTTCGAACAACAATCGTTAGATTCTGATCAGCCAGTGCCAAAACGCAAAGGACTTTTCTAGAAAGAGGAGAAATCTAGTAAATGCGGAGCCTTTAGTCTTAACAGAGTATCTGTAAAAAAAAAAAAAGAAACGTGCACAATGCACAACCTTTCATGCTACTCCCTCCATCTTAGCCTTGAGTGTTCGAGGGACATCAAAGTGTTTCAATAGATAATAAAATATGCAACAAAATGTCATAAGCACTAAAACATGTTCAAAAGAAGCCTTTTCACTACATCCACAGCAGCACAAAGCAAAAGAACATGAGCAAACCCAACTGATCAGAGGCTCCTAAACCTGCAGTGAAATACTACATTTCCTGCAGGGATCCAGGTGAGCTGTCACCCCCTCCGTCTCGCTCTAGACCAGCTCATTCCAACAAATAAAATGGAAACAAGTAGACGAAAAACATAATAGCCTTCCATCGATCCATGCATTTTAGCTGTTATATGTAATGCATTGGGAATATACATAATTTTGTTCAATTGTTGGCAGCGTGTAACCCTGAGCTGGACGGAGGTATGGCTTCAGCCCCTGAATCCTGTGGAGGCCACGCTTCAAAACAGGAGCTACACAACAATAAAACACAAAATACCAAAACGGGACTCATAAAAATTTTTGAATCATCATAATCAAACACTACCAATTATAAAAGATACTTACACTTTTAGGGCTACAGATTGGTAGGTTGAAATAAAAAATAATCAAGTAAAAAAAAAGGCAAATGAACTAAAGAGAAGGGAAAAAAACCTTGAACTGAATGCATGTGATTTTCAAAAAGAAGGGGAAAAAATCATACTGTCAAACATGGACATCTGGCATTCGGTGAAGTTTTAATTACCTCTTAACGCCATAGGCCATATTAAGCAAATTGTCCAGCCTGTAAAGAGAAGGAGGGTTCTGGGGTTAATGCCAGGCAGATGGTTGACTCACTCAGTGGAACTAATGCTACATCCCTGCCTCACTGAAGGAAGACGCCCATCTACCGATGGGCCATTACACTGTGCTGCCCCATCAGGCATCTCACAGAGTCAATCATACATCCAAAGAACAGCAGACTTGCAGCAGCACTAATGGTAACAGGAGGCCACATGAATGCCCACCCAGTTATTTATAACAGTGCTGCAGTCCTTAAAATATTATTCACTACATAATTTATGTAACATATATTCAAATAAAATTGCAATAGGTTGACTAATTATTTAGATCAATATATATATATATATATATATATATATATCAGGCAGATGGTTGACTCACTCAGTGGAACTAATGCTACATCCCTGCCTCACTGAAGGAAGACGCCCATCTACCGATGGGCCATTACACTGTGCTGCCCCATCAGGCATCTCACAGAGTCAATCATACATCCAAAGAACAGCAGACTTGCAGCAGCACTAATGGTAACAGGAGGCCACATGAATGCCCACCCAGTTATTTATAACAGTGCTGCAGTCCTTAAAATATTATTCACTACATAATTTATGTAACATATATTCAAATAAAATTGCAATAGGTTGACTAATTATTTAGATCAATATATATATATATATATATATATATACACACACTGTATGTATTTTTGTGGGGAGTTATAATTAAATTAAGGATGATTTATAATGCACTGGTATTTATATTTGTGTATGCTATAATTTCTAATATGATGAATATATATAAATATATTTTATTTATATTAACCCTAAGCCACGCCTCAAAAACAGGAGCTTAAATTTATTCAGGTAATATATACATATTTCTATCAAGACGTTTTAGTTTTTTTTTTTGGTTACATATTTAATACAGTAAAATGGAGGATTCGGATAAAATGGAGAATTCGCCCAAAAAAGAATGTGTATATTTATATTGCATATAATGATATGGGTATAATTAATGATTAATGATTGAATGATTAAGAAGGATATGAGCAAATCAAAAACAAAACTCAAAAAGAGAAATAAATGAATCATACAAACAGATACTCAGAGTGAATTATGAAGAATGAATCTTAGTGTCTGAACATGTGCAGATAATATGCTAGTGTTATGGATGAAATTGGTCTGGGGCCATCTTTCAGCATACCTGAAAACTTTAATATAAAATGACATTTCAATGAAGCAGGATGTAATGTAGCATTAACTGGGAGTGCCCTTTCTTCTTCTTACTGTCTCTTTCTTGTGCGGTCTCTCTATTAGCCCCAGTGACCCAGCGGGCCGGTGTATTACGCTTTCCTTCCCCGTCAGTCATTCTCATTTTAGGCTCCCGTCTGTTTGGCTACTCTGTGACCTCCGTCTCTCACTCGGCTCGGCCGTGTCTCATTTCCTATTAAAACTGCTGCAAGATGGCCGACAGGGCTAATTACTGCTTTCTCACATTTCAAACTGAACTTCTCCAGACAAAACACACACATACACATGCTGGCCCTCCCTCTCCGCAGTGGGTCAACAGTTGGTGACTCTGCCTTCTGTGAACTTAGAGGAAAAACGGAGCCAAAATAAAGCAAGGACATTCAGCGTGTCGAGTCATTAAGATGCCAATTAGCCAATTAGGGAGGCAGGTTGCTTTGTGGGTAAATGAGTTATTTGGAGAGAGGGCTCTGAGGTGCAAGAGCAGGCGATGTGTTAGATATATGCAGGCGTGTCTCAACCCGGCTCAGCCCGGCCTACAGCTTTTCACACTTCCTCTCCAAACACACACACACACAATGAGGCCTTTGTAAGGCCAGCTAATACATGCAAATGGGACTCATCCTATTCAGACCTCTTCAATAATAAGTGCTTGTGATGTATGAGGAATTAATTACTGATTTCTGTCATCAGTATTGCTGTGCTGTGCTGTGCTAATTGCTTGACGAGTCCTGTTTGTCTAAACAAAGGATCTTTTGCTTTAAAGTAAACATCACACCGACAGTTCATGTATCTAGAGGGGATAGACTGTAACTCATCCAAAGTATTTTATATTTATGATGCAACTGAATAATGAAATATTTTGAATGGTTATGAGCTGCATACTAGAGTCCATTATGCTTCCATTCATACGATTGTGAACACACAGATGTGTAAAAGTTCAGTATTTCACTTTTAGGTGAACTCTGACCTGAGAATTTGTATAGTAAAAAGGTGTTTGACCAATAGAAGATAAAAAACATCACGAATTAAAAACCTAGTCACACAATATAAAGAACACATGCTTGAATGGTTTGCACATTCTAAGCTCCATGGTTTGCATTTTTGTGAGAAATTGATATTTTAACATTTCAAATTCATTATGTATTACTTTATTGATTTGCACTGCCATTCAAAAGTTTGGGGTTGGTACAATTTTTTTGTTTTGTTTTTGAAAGATGTCAGGCTGTAATTATTTCAGCAAAACTACTGTAAAACTGTATTATTAAATATTAGAGCTTTTTGTGGAAACTTGTGTTTTTAGGGATTATTTAAAATAATTTTCAATTTTAATAATTTTCAGAAGAACGGCATTAATTAAATTTTTCTTTGTAATATTATAAATGTCTTTACTTTCACTTTTGGTTAATTGAATACATCCTTGCTGGATAAAATATTAATTTCTTTGAAAAAACTAAAAAACGTACCCCAAACTTTTGTATGGAATGTATTATATTATTTGCAATTCATAATGTATTTTATTTTTTATTTTTTCCAGTACAAGAGTCCTGGAACATGACATTATATCCTGCCAATGTTCAAAGTAAGTTTGCATACTTAAATTGCATATATAAGCAGTGGTTCAAAAATCTACTAGTTCAGCTAAGCATATACTGATTTGCTTAGTTTTGATTAAACCAAGAAAAATGTGTTCTTCATGTCCTACAACCACAAAAGCACTAAGTATAATTTTGCTAAATGGCTAAAACTAACACTATTGATACTATATTCAATGTCTGCTTGATTGTGAGTTGATATCTGCTGCTATTAAGCAGTAAACTTTTACTGCAAAATGACCTCATCTATTTTGGCAGGCTTCGCCAGCTCGATGCTCATAAGATGACTCATAGTTAATGTGAATTAGCCTGCAAGGAAAGGAGATCTTAAGAAAAGTCCTAGCAAGTCAACGGCAAGATCAAAAGGTGTTGTTATTGTTGCCTGTGACTAACTATATGCGTAGTGAGGGGACACAGCAGAGAGAATTTACTTCACATCGCCTTTAAAAAGGTTGAGAAGCGCTGCCCAGGGCTGTAAAGGTGTTAGCTGCCAGAGTGAAGTTATTGCTGGCCTGCTGAACTGAAATGAAAGGAACAGATGTGAAATGAAAGAAGGGGAGGATGGCGTATGAGAAAAATAAATCAGAGGGACGTTGTGAATGACAGAACCCCACTGTCTCTTATCAGTCCTTCACTTTGGTTTATTTTCTGAATCTCATTTTGTTTCTGCAGATTTTTGGGAGCAGCTATTCCTCGGTGGTGACGTGACACACACGACTTGAGCTCTACAGGTAACAGTTTCACAATCCAGACACCTATTTTGCCTTGCTATTCCAACAATTTTGATGTGAGTTTCAAAGGAAGCTATGTAAGAAAATATACATATTATTATTATTGTTGTAGACTGAATGTATTTACCTGAACCTCTGCGCTTGGTGGTGGAGAGGACCCGGGTAGCGGCGGTTGGGGGATTGGTACAGCTGCGACAGTAGCGCCTGGCTGGTCTTCTGGCTGGGGTTGTTTGCAAACTTCACCGTAATGGGCTCTGCGGCACCTGAGGGCTTCTGTCCATTCAGACCCTTGATGGCTTCCTCCGCTTCTATCCTCTTATCAAAGCGAATAAAGCCCACACCCCGCGAGCCACCTGTGGGGCCAGCACACCAGAAACAACACACCATACGCTTACTGGCTTTATCCGGCCTGCAACATCAATGATATGTTCAAGTCCTCCTGGAAAGTTCGTATTTATGAGTTGGAAAGTCGTAATTATGGTGGTTGGAGCAAGATGGTGATGCACCTTTTCTACAAAAATTTCAGCTAGATTAAAAAAAAAACAGACGCTACATCCATTGCATCTGCAACATCAATGATATGTTCAAGTCCTCCTGGAAAGTTCGTATTTATGAGTTGGAAAGTCGTAATTATGGTGGTTGGAGCAAGATGGTGATGCACCTTTTCTACAAAAATTTCAGCTAGATTAAAAAAAAAAACAGACGCTACATCCATTGCATCTGACATATTTTCTCACCGACACGCCCCCAACTCAGAAGCTCTGGGCTTAAAGGAATAGTTCACCCAAAAATGAAAATTTGCTGAAAATTGACAGGCCATCTAAGATGTAGATGAATTTATTTCTTCATTGGAACAGATTTGGAGAAATGTAGCATTACATCACTTGCTCACCAATGGATACTCTGCTGTGAATGGGTGCCTTCAGAATAAGAGTCCAAATAGCTGATAAAAACATCACAAGTAATCCACATGACTCCAGTCCATCTTGTAAAGTAAAACGCTGTTTGCAAGAAACAAATCCATCATTAATACTTCAAACCATTGCTTCCTGTTATTACTAGTGAAAAAAGTTGCCTCATCTGAAAACAATCCAAAACAGTTGGATTGTCCAACACAAACGTCTAGGTGGATTTTGATGTGAGAGGACAACAGGGCATGGACTTTTTCACTGGAGGAAGCGTTATTATGGATTTTGGCCAGAAGCAACAGTTTAAAATTAAAACGCCTTGATGAGTTTATTATAAACACACAGCTTTTCACTTCACAAGATGTTAATACATAGAACGGAATCATGTCGATTAATTGTGGGTTATTGTGATGTTTTTATCAGCTGTTTGGACTCTCAATCTGATGGCACCCATTCACTGCAGAGGATCCATTGGTGAGCAAGTGATGCAATGCTACGTTTCTCCAGATCAGTTCTGAGAAACTCATCTACGTGCATCTTGGATGGCTTAAGAGTGAAAAAATTCTCAAAATGTTTCATTTTGAGTGAACTACTCCTTTAAAGAAAGTTATAAGTCCTTCCCCACTGGTGTGGTGGCCTTTGTGTGTTCAACTAGTAAATACAGTCTTTCCAACATTACTTGAACGCACCAAACACACAAATGCACACACTTCCTGTCTTGCACACCTTCATTCAGAATGATTCATTTCTATATTTAGAGACCGAAAATGATTCGGCGTTGAAGACGACAAATGACAGAGATATGTAGCCTGTGTGACGGATTCTATTGCTGGTGTCACATTATGCAAATGATGCACGATGGAACGGGGAGATTCTATTGGCCGGCCAGCATTCCGGTGCTGTCAGGCAGACGTGTAATTTGTTTTCTTTTTTTATATAATTTGGCGATATAGTGTGGAGATGCTGTCGCCCCGCTGGTGTGGAAATTGAGCGTGTGTGTGCGACGGCCTCACGCTGTGTGGTTTGCGGCAGCTGACGGCCACACGCCGCCTCATGGCAAGAAGTTTGTCCGCAACATTTCCAAGGCGATGGTTTTGACCGCTACCTGAAAGTAACATTTAAAAGAGCCTGGCTTACAGGGAGGTCTTTTGTTGGGTTGGTTTTTAATGAGACGATCCTTCTGCTCTGAGGAGGTGCATGTGGAGACGACTTGCCAAGAGGGCAATTTGCATAATACAATGAACACATATTTGTGTGCGAGCGTGTGTGCGTGTCTGCTCTCTGCTTTCTATATTGTCAGTTCGTTCTCCTCTCACTCTCTCAGCTGTCACCCGCAAGTATTGATGTTTTCTGTTGTGCTGCCTGATTGTCTATTCAAATCAGTGTCTTTTGATATGTTCCGTTCTGCAAACAAATATTTGCAAACAATCTTTTCAATGCAGTGAGCTTTCATTCAGACTGTGGCTGCATTACTCTCTTTCCCTCGCAGCGTGAGTCATTCCTGACAGCTTTTCACTTTTCCCTCTCCCTTCCTAAAACCTGCTCTCTTTAATTAGACCGTCAGAAGTAAAGGCTCGAGGAACGAAAAGCATGCATTATTCCAAAGAGTTTAGGATGCACAGTTAGCTTAGTGCTCACCGTGGAGTGATGTTGAGGTCAAAGCAGAATCCTTCGAAAGTGGAGCAGAGAGAGGAAACTGGGAATGACACCTCCTCTCTCTGTTCCTCTCTCTGTCTAGAAGATATCTGACATGCAACAGCTCAAGTATCTAAAAATACAAGAGATTACACATTCCGTTTCATAAAATTTTGATCCGAAACTAGACGACTTTTTGTTTCTTTCTGTCAGTTTAAGTGTGCAGGAATGAACTGATGGATCTGACATAAACTATATGCTATCTGTGCTTTTGCTTGTTTAGGCTGAACACAAACACCGGCTGATTCCGAAAGCGGGGAGAGGAAGGCATCAAGACATGTCTAAATCCAATGTCTGGTAACATCCTGTCTACTATAATGCCTTAATTGCTTTTGAAGACAGCAGAGATGTATCCTTCACATATCCCACAAAGTGCGATTTAACGGTTGGTGGAATAAATAGAAATACATTTTTATAAATGTATTTTTTTTAAACGTATGTCTCCTTTTCTTTCTAGAAATAAGCATTGTGGTGACTAAATATTTGCTTTTTTGCTTTAAAGTTCTTTTTAGCTCATTAGATGTGACTTGGAAGCCTATCTGAAACCAGTTTCCTTTGATGGAATCTTCATATACCACGCTGCCTGTGAATGCTGTCATTGCGAAACACAGACTCAGAGGTTAAAGGTCAAGTCCTTCCAAACCTATGATATGGCTATACAGTGGTGTGAAAAAGTTTTTGCCCCCTTCCTGTTTTTTTATTTTCTGCATATTTGTCACACTTGAATGATTCGGATCATCAAACAAATTTTATTACACAAAGATAACCCGAGTAAATACAAAATGCAGTTTTGAAATAATGATTTCATTTATTAAGGGAAAAAAGCTGTCCAAACCTGCCTGGCACTACGTGGAAAAAGTAATTGCCCCCTAAATCTAATAACTGGTTATGCCACCCTTTGCCGCAACAACTGCAATCAAGCGTTTGCGATAACTGGCAATGAGTCTTTGCAGAATTGTTTTAATTCAGCCACATTGGAGGGTTTTAGAGCATGAATGGACTGTTTAAGGTCATGCCACAGCATCTCAATCGGATTTAAGTCTGGACTTTGATTTGGCCACCCCAAAACCTTAATTTTGTTTTTCTTGAGCCATTCAGAGTTGGACTTGCTGGTGTGTTTGGGATCATTGTCCTGCTGCATAACCCA